GTTTCAGTTAAGCACAGCGATTTCTCGGCGAAGCTTATGGTAGATCTGTTCTACCGAAAGAGTTTTCATTGAAAAAAGTTTCTCTTGAGAAGGGTTTCTTTAGAAAAGCAAACCCAAAGAGAGTGTCCTTTGTCAAAAGTTTCTCTGGAGAGTATTTCTGTAGAAAAGTTCTAAAGAGAATTTTGTTTAGAAAAGTTTCCGTTGAAAAAGTTCCAGTAAAGCACAGCGTTTTCTCACCGAACCTTATGGTGGATATAGTTCTAGTTCTGTTTTAGTTCTGTTCTAGTTCTGTTCTAGTTCCGTTCTAGTTCTGTTCTAGTTCTGTTCTAGTTCTGTTCTAGTTCTGTCTAGTTCTGTTCTAGTTCTGTTCTAGTTCTGTTCTAGTTCTGTTCTAGTCTGTTCTAGTTCTGTTCTAGTTCTGTTCTAGTTCTGTTCTAGTTCTGTTCTAGTTCTGTTCTAGTTCTGTTCTAGTTCTGTTCTAGTTCTGTTCTAGTTCTGTTCTAGTTCTGTTCTAGTTCTGTTCTAGTTCTGTTCTAGTTCTTTCTAGTCCTAGTTCTGTTCTAGTTCTGTTCTAGTTCTGTTCTAGTTCTGTTCTAGTTCTGTTCTAGTTCTGTTCTAGTTCTGTTCTAGTCCTAGTTCTGTTCTAGTCCTAGTTCTGTTCTAGTTCTGTTCTAGTTCTGTTCTAGTTCCTAGTTGTTCTGTTCTAGTCCTGTTCTAGTTCTGTTCTAGTTCTGTTCTAGTTCTGTTCTAGTTCTGTTTCTAGTTCTGTTCTAGTTCTGTTCTAGTTCTGTTCTAGTTCTGTTCTAGTTCTGGTTCTAGTTCTGTTCTAGTTCTGTTCTAGTTCTGTTCTAGTTCTGTTCTAGTTCTGTTCTAGTTCTGTTCTAGTTCTGTTCAAGTTCTGTTCTAGTTCTGTTCTAGTTCTGTTTTAGTTCTGTTCTAGTTCTGTTCTAGTTCTGTTCTAGTTCTGTTCTAGTTCTGTTCTAGTTCTGTTCTAGTTCTGTTCTAGTTCTGTTCTAGTTCTGTTCTAGTTCTGTTCTAGTTTCTAGTTCTGTTCTGTTCTAGTTCTGTTCTAGTTCTGTTCTAGTTCTGTTCTAGTTCTGTTTTAGTTCTTTTCTAGTTCTGTTCTAGTTCTGTTCTAATTCTCTTCTAGTTATGTTCTAGTTCTCTTCTAGTTCGGTTCTAGTTCTGTTCTAGTTCTGTTCTTCTAGTTCTGTTCTAGTTCTGTTCTAGTTCTGTTCTAGTTCTGTTCTAGTTCTGTTCTAGTTCTGTTCTAGTTCTGTTCTAGTTCTCTTCTAGTTTTGTTCTAGTTTTATTCAAGTTCTGTTCTAGTTCAGTGTTGGTTCAATGCTAGATCAGTCATTCGTATAAGTAGTCTGTTTTTGCCTGCATTTTATAGAGCTAGTTATTTTATCACTATCTGTAATCAACATTATAATTTTGCTCCCTTTGTTTTATATTCCATCCTGCTATTATTAAATGTCTAAAAACAAAAAAAAAGGCAAATCAATTATCAGGATTTTTTCTGTCTTCGATTACATCCACTTACTTGTACAGCAAACGACTATAGCAATTTGTACAAGTAGACTTTGATCTTTTAAAGTAAATCAAAAATGTATCAATAATCATTTATAATACGATACACACGTAGCATACTTATCAGCAGCAGCATCATGGAACTCATCTTCAAGCGACCAACAGTCAACCTCGTCAACATTAGTTGTAGGAATCATCAGAATAATAAAGAAACTTGTAATGAAATGAATAAGAATAACAGCTTTGTGTTGGGTGTTAGTCTAGCTGCTAAAGCGTTCCTGCATCTTGTGTTTTTGTGTGTTGTGGAGACCTTGTTTTTGTACTGCTCTTTACCTTTTTTGTTGTTGTTGTAGGGAGTCGTATTATTTTTTATTTATTTAATACCAGAGTGTTAATAAAAGCAAGCAATCATAGAGATTATGTAGACTAAACTTATGAACAGATGTTCTAGAGGATGATGATGATGATAATTTTTTTCCTTCACATTTTTTTTTTCTATTTTTCTACAAGTATTTGCTATTCATTTGTAGCTTAAGAATTGCAAAGGAATCATTTGAAAGGAATGGTTGGATGGCTGGCTTTATTGGTATACTTAAGGCTTATCGTCTACTTTATTTTTTTTTTGTTTGTTGTTACTGTGTTGGTGTCTATGTATATGTAATATATAAAGACTTTTATAACAAAACGCACTTTTTTTCAATGATTATGACTGAAAAAAGAATACAAGTCTTATAGTGTTAGGAAACATGAAGTCAAGTCAAATAGAATCTTTAAGATTCATTGAGAGTTGACTTTTTTTTGTTTGGACAAAATAATAATCATGAAAATGGTCATGAGTATAAAGTAGAAGATAAGGTAGTGGTTGTTGTTGTTGCTGCTATTATTACCGATGACGCTGGTGATAAGTATAAGTATTTCCTTTTTTTGTTATTCCTGTTTGTAGTCCTTAATAAGAGGGGAACGTTGATGCCGTTTCTGTATATGTTTCATGCAAGATGTAGTAGTATCATGCTGCTTGTAGCAAAAGTTGTTATTTTTATCTGATTTTCCTTTTTTTTTTTTTTTTTGCTTATAGTCAATAGGTTTATTATTTGTATATACAATTGCTGTCTTTTTGTCCTACGCAACGCTATTAGTATTCAGGTATTGTAATGTAATTTTAAAATTATTATGCTAAAGCAATTACTTTTAACTAAATTATTAGTGTTTTATATTAGATCAACATTTGTTTGGTAGGGTGAAGTAAAAAGAGGTGTTAAATAGAAAAAAAAATATATTGACAAATGCAGTCTCTAATTGAAAACGAGAAAAAGCTTTTCAAAGTTAAGTTTCTAAAGTGAATTCATGGGCATTTCTCTTCTAGAACAAATCTAGTTTACATTAACTTCAAATCGATAGTAAATCGTATCAGATTCCCTCTGTTTACAACTAATGAAGTCTCTATCGATAACACCTCTTTTTCCATAACCTGCCTCTTTCAAATACATCCTTTTTATATTCAATGATTGAAAATTGTTGGACAACTTTTGCCATTTGTCTAGAGATTTACATGAAAATTGACTGCAGGAAATATTAACTTAAGATTATGAAATTTTCTTAGTCATAACAAACAAGTTCATTAATTTTACATAAACAACAGCTTGGTTGGCTAAAAGTAAATAAATTTAAAAGTAGATAATACAATGTTCTGTAAAAAAAAACAAGTTTTAATATTAAAAGATCGAAGCAAAAAACGATTAGAAGAAATAAAACTGGTTAAACTATCGCAGGATAACTACAACGAGCTATTTATTGGGCTATTTTTAAGCAAAATGTAGCAATTTTGCTTATAATTAAATTTTTAATTAAAATTTTATACTTTCTAGTTTAGGGCCTTAATTTTCATAGTTTCATTTAAAGACTTGTCCACTTGAAAAGTTTTTCTTGTAGGAAATTCTCTGGACTTTTCAAATTATTAAACTTTTTCCAAATACTTCTAACCCCTCCAAAGTTATAAGCAAAAATGTGGAATAACCTATAATTACCTAGAACAGAACTAGAACAGAACTAGAACAGAACTAGAACAGAACTAGAACAGAACTAGAACAGAACTAGAACAACTAGAACAGAACTAGAACAGACTAGAAACTAGAACAGAACTAGAACAGAACTAGAACAGAACTAGAACAGAACTAGAACAGAACTAGAACAGAAACTAGAACAGAACTAGAACAGAACTAGAACAGAACTAGAACAGAACTAGAACAGAACTAGAACAGAACTAGAACAGAACTTGAACAGAACTAGAACAGAACTAGAACAGAACTAGAACAGAACTAGAACAGAACTAGAACAGAACTAGAACAGAACTAGAACAGAACTAGAACAGAACTAGAACAGAACTAGAACAGAACTAGAACAGAACTAGAACAGAACTAGAACAGAACTAGAACAGAACTAGAACAGAACTAGATCAGAACTAGAACAGAACTAGAACAGAACTGGAACAGAACTAGAACAGAACTAGAACAGAACTAGAACAGAACTAGAACAGAACTAGAACAGAACTAGAACAGAACTAGAACAGAACTAGAACAGAACTAGAACAGAACTAGAACAGATCTAGAATTGAACTAGAACAGGACTGGAACAGAACTTAATTTTTTTTTTTAATGAACTTTTTTATTGTATTTATCATTCTTCTCTTGTTTGTTATTAATATTTCATAACAAATTCATAACTAATATTTTAAAATCATTTTCATTTTTACACTTTTCCTTTTCTCAATTTTTGTATAAAAAATTTTGCATTTTTTCCAGGCACTTAATTTAATTTGAATAATAAACTATTAAAACCATAAATTTCATAATACATTCATGTGTCTAGAGCTTCAGATACTTTTAATAGAATTAAAAATTTTTTCATATAGAAGAACACTAGTTTTTTCACACTCTAGAAAAAAACACACAAAAGTTAAACATATTATGTGTCATAATATAGCTGAAAGGCTGTAGTTTTGTCCTTGCTTTCATATTAATTTAAAAACTAAAAAAAACTATATAAATTTTTAAAATAATTGTTTATACAAATAAAATTCATAAAACTTACCACGGCACGACAGGCAGGACTTCGATAAATATCACTGGCACCTGATAAACTTTGAAAATATTTTTTTGTACCATAAACTGTATCCATTTTGATTTAGTTTTGAATTAATTGAAGCTTTTTGTTTAAAAAAAATAATGTGTTGTTTGTTTAAAAGTTTTTAACTCCTGTTTTTTTTTTTGGTTGATGTTTAAAACGGAGGGGGTGGGAGATTTCTAGGAAACTGTCACTTTATTATAAATATCAAAGTTGTTTTTGTGTGTGACATTTATTTTTTCATTTAGCAAGAAAAAGTTCAGATTTTAAAATTATACAAAAAAGGATAATAATCAAGAATAACATTTACACACTGACATGAAGTGTAGTTTGTTTTTTTGCTGCTACTGCTGCCAGAGATGTCTTTACTGCCATCCACACCAACAAAAAAAAGCGATCAATTTTCCACAGTTATTCCCATATTTAAAATATGTTCTCTGTTTTATGTTTTTATGTTCCTTTCAGTCTATTTTTATAATAAACCAACCAAAGCAAAAAAAACTTTTTTCACACTTTAATATGATGTTGTTGGCAACTTTTGTTGCATGTTTATTGGGTGGCTGCTGGGTTGTTGTTATATGTGTTGTGATAGAGTATGTGGCAGCAATGTGTTTTTTTGTTTGTAAAAGTAATAGTAATGTGTTACCACAATAACAAAAAACCCAAAACAATGTTCAATTAACTAATGAAGCTGCTGCTTCTGCCGCTACTGTGTGTTGCACTCTGTGTTGTTGTCGTTGCTGGTGCTGCCTCCGGTTTTTTTTGCTTTCTTCTTGTTGTAATTTTCCTGTTTTTTAGTTGTCTGTTATTTTGTAGCGCCACAATATGTAGCAGTATGCTTAAATATTTTTATTGTGTTGAAATGATGAAGAACGATGAGTTTTTGTTTTAGATGTTTTGCTTCATGTACGATTTTTTTTTTTTTTTTTCTGTTATCTGTTCAAAACTTTTATCAACATTGATCACTATTTAATAAATTGCCACATACACTGACATCGTAATTTATTGATAAACCTGAAAAAAAAGAGAAAAGTGGATATTAAATATTAAAGGACTATTATATGATATTTAGATAATAAAGGTAATTACTTAATAAAAATAAAACAAATTTTTGAATTTAAAACTCTAATAGCAAACATAAATATAGTATTTCTTTAAATTGGAATGCAACAGAACTAGAAGAGAACTAGAACAGAACTAGAACAGAACTAGAACAGAACTAGAACAGAACTAGAACAGAACTAGAACAGAACTAGAACAGAACTAGAACTGAACTAGAACTGAACTAGAACTGAACTAGAACTGAACTAGAACTGAACTAGAACTGAACTAGAACTGAACTAGAACTGAACTAGAACTGAACTAGAACTGAACTAGAACTGAACTAGAACTGAACTAGACTGACTACTGAACTAGAACTGAACTAGAACTGAACTAGAACTGAACTAGAACTGAACTAGAACTGAACTAGAACTGAACTAGAACTGAACTAGAACTGAACTAGAACTGAACTAGAACTGAACTAGAACTGAACTAGAACTGAACTAGAACTGAACTAGAACAGAACTGAACTAGAACTGAACTAGAATGAACTAGAACTGAACTAGAACTGAACTAGAACTGAACTAGAATGAACTCAGAACTAGAACTAGAAACAGAACTAGAACAGAACTAGAAACAGAACTAGAACAGAACTAGAACAGAACTAGAACAGAACTAGAACAGAACTAGAACAGAACTAGAACAGAACTAGAACAGAACTAGAACAGAACTAGAACAGAACTAGAACAGAACTAGAACAGAACTAGAACAGAACTAGAACAGAACTAGAACAGAACTAGAACAGAACTAGAACAGAACTAGACAGAACTAGAACAGAACTAGAACAGAACTAGAACAGAACTAGAACAGAACTAGAACAGAACTAGAACAGAACTAGAACAGAACTAGAACAGAACTAGAACAGAACTAGAACAGAACTAGAACAGAACTAGAACAGAACTAGAACAGAACTAGAACAGAAACTAGAACAGAACTAGAACAGAACTAGAACAGAACTAGAACTAGAACAGAACTAGAACAGAACAGAAACTAGAACAGAACTAGAACAGAACTAGAACTGAACTAGAACAGAACTAGAACAACTAGAACAGAACTAGAACAGAACTAGAACAGAACTAGAACAGAACAGAACTAGAACAGAACTAGAACAGAACTAGAAAAACTAGAACAGAAACAGAACAGAACTAGAACAGAACTAGAACAGAACTAGAACAGAACCAGAACAGAACTAGAACAGAACTAGAACAGAACTAGAACAGAACTAGAACAGAACTAGAACAGAACTAGAACAGAACTAGAACAGAACTAGAACAGAACTAGAACAGAACTAGAACAGAACTAGAACAGAACTAGAACAGAACTAGAACAGAACTAGAACAGAACTAAACAGAACTAGAACAGAACTAGAACAGAACTAGAACAGAACTAGAACAGAATAGAACAGAACTAGAACAAAACTAAAACATAATTAGAACAGAATAGATAGTCCTCATCCATATAGTTAATGTTTCTATATTCATACCAAAGATTTAATTATTTTTTACGTTTTAAATGTTTACTTTATTCCAACCTTTAGGAAAATTCTCACTTTTTAACTAAAACAAACAAAAACTGAAGAAACTGGTCATTGTTTTTCCTAACATCTTCCTCATCTAACTCTTGCTCTAATGCAACAAGACAATAAAAACAAAGTCTAAAGTATGAAGAGTTGAGTAAAAATCCAGTTTTTGTGTGTTTGGCAAATGCCTGGACAAACTAGTTTTTCATGTGAAAATCTTAACTAAAGAAAATGAGAGAGAATCTTAAGAAATGGAAATTAAAATTAAAGAAAAATAAATAACTGGTATTTTCTTCATTTTTTTGAGAAAATTAACAAGATTAGATAGCAGGAAGAAGAAAAAATTTACAGAAAAAAGTTTTGATTTTTATTTGAGGTGACAATAAGGAAATGAAATAAATGTTAAATAAATTAAATGAAAGTGTAGAAAAGTAAAGAATTTAAATATTTTACAAACAAAATAATTCAGATATCTTTCTTAACTTGTATTAAACTAGAGGAATGTAAAGAAGTTACTTTATTTGGGGAAAAACTTTCCATACAGTTCAATGACATTGCCTCAGATATGGTTATAATAAAGTTTATGGTCATTGAATATTAATATTTTTTAAATTTAATACCTTTAATTTAATTAGCATGTAAAATATTTTGACCATTACTTTTCTTGTAATAATAACTTAAAGCCAAAAATCCCCACAATATCAGTTTCATAAACTTATTTCATTACAACTTTCATTCTCATTTAAATTCTAAAAAGTAATTAAAATAAATTAAACAAAAAAAAACCTAAAAAGAAAAATTTTAAACCTAAAAATCACACTTAACGCTTGCTGTAACCACAATTGTTACACAGTGGAGCAAAAAAAAAAAAGAAAACAAAATCAACAAAAAATGCATAAAAATCATTCATATCAGTTTGGATTGTTAATGATCAAAAGTAAAAGTTTAAGTGTTTTTTTAACAAGAAAAAATATTTTAAACATTTATTTTTTTTTAATAACACAAATATCATAAAGAATTTTAACACTGAAAATGAAAACAAAACAAAATATGAAAAAAAAACAAAAACCAAAAACACAATTTCACTGTCATTATAATATGGTCAGTTAAAGTTGGAGGCGGTTTTCATTCCACATCTTTTGAAAAATACAGCAATAATGACTTGTTTCATGAACATCTACCAACAAGCTGGAAGTTGTTGCTGTTGTTATTTTTTCTGTCTTTAATATTACTTTCGACTGCTACAAAAACAAGACCAACAAAACAAACACAAAAAATCACAGAAAACATACCAAAATGATGATGATGACCTGATTTGCATACCCTGGTTTAAGTTAAATTATAAGTGTGTGTTTTATATACAAAATTTACACAAACTTATGTCTATATAAACAAAAAATATGTTTGTATTTATTTAGTCAGAGTCATGACAACAGTCGGTCAATTGAATGGACAGACTATGTTCTTTTATTTTTGTTTTGGTACAATTAAATGTTTAAAAGAAGTCAGGTATTTAATGGAATTTTTGTAATGACTTACAGCCAAGGCCAAACATGATAAAGATTTACTGAAGTCAGGGCTAAAAGGTTTCAAATACCTACAGTTATGACCGAACTAGAATAGAACTAGAACAGAACTAGAACAGAACTAGAACAGAACTAGAACAGAACTAGAACAAAACTAGAACAGAAACTAGAACAGAACTAGAACAGAACTAGAACAGAACTAGAACAGAACTAGAACAGAACTAGAACAGACTAGAACAGAACTAAAACAGAACTAAAACAGAACTAGAACAGAACTAGAACAGAACTAGAACAGAACTAGAACAGAACTAGAACAGAACTAGAACAGAACTAGAACAGAACTAGAACAGAACTAGAACAGAACTAGAACTGAACCAGAACTCCACTAGAACTGAACTAGAACAGGAACTAGAACAGAACTAGAACAGAACTAGAACAGAACTAAAACAGAACTAGAACAGAACTAGAACAGAAATAGAACAGAACTAGAACAAACTAACACAACACTAGAACAGAACTAGAACAGAACTAGAACAGAACTAGAACAGAACAGAACTAGAACAGAACTAGAACAGAACTAGAACAGACTAGACAGAACTAAACGAACTAGAACAGAACTAGAACAGAACTAAAACAGAACTAGAACATAACTAGAACAGAACTAGAACAGAACTAGAACAGAACTAGAACAGAACTAGAACAGAACTAGAACAGAACTAGAACAGAACTAGAACAGAACCAGAACAGAACTAGAACAGAACTAGAACAGAACCAGAACAGAACTAGAACAGAACTAGAACAGAACTAGAACAGAACTAGAACAGAACTAGAACAGAACTAGAACAGAACTAGAACAGAACTAGAACAGAACTAGAACAGAACTAGAACAGAACTAGAACAGAACTAGAACAGAACTAGAACAGAACTAGAACAGAACAGAACTAGGAACAGAACTAGAACAGCACTAGAATAGAACTAGAATAGAACTAGAACAGAACTAGAACAGAACTAGAACAGAAACTAGAACAGAACTAGAACAGACCTAGAACAGAACTAGAACAGAACTAGAACAGAACTAGAACAGAACTAGAACAGAACTAGAAACAGAACTAGAACAGAAACTAGAACAGAACTAGAACAGAACTAGAACAGAACTAGAACAAGAACTGAACAGAACTAGAACAGAACTAGAACAGAACTAGAACAGAACTAGAACAGAACTAGAACAGAACTAGAACAGAACTAGAACAGAACTAGAACAGACTAGACTAACTAGAACAGAACTAAAACAGAACTAGAACAGAACTAGAACAGAAATAGAACAGAACTAGAACAGAACTAGAACAGAACTAGAACAGAAACTAGAACAGAACTAGAACAGAACTAGAACAGAACTAGAACAGACTAGAACAGAACTAGAACAGAACTAGAACAGAACTACAGAACTAGAACTAGAACTAGAGAACTGAACTAGAACTGAACTAGAACTGAACTAGAACAGAACTAGAACAGAACTAGAACAGAACTAGAACAGAACTAGAACAGAACTAGAACAGAACTAGAACAGAACTAGAACAGAACTAGAACAGAACTAGAACAGAACTAGAACAGAACTAGAACAGAACTAGAACAGAACTAGAACAGAACTAGAACAGAACTAGAACAGAACTAGAACAGAACTAGAACAGAACTAGAACAGAACTAGAACAGAACTAGAACAGAACTAGAACAGAACTAGAACAGAACTAGAACAGAACTAGAACTGAACCAGAACTCCACTAGAACTGAACTGGGGTATTTGAAACTAATCAAAATAAGTTCCGAACACTTATTTAATTTGCTACTAACCATCTAGAACAATTTAAATA